GGATAGAGCAAGAAATGCGCTTTAGAATGGTGTAAAGCTTGCAAACAATCTTATAGCAAATAACACCGCTGCGAGCATTCGAAAATTGGCGTCGAAAAACGCAAGAACTTTCTTCACGACCTAATAATTCCTTGAAGGTTTTCACACAAGGATGAAATAGGGTAGATGTTCTTGAATCCCACATTCCATGGTTGAGAAGGGTGTAGCAAAGAAGCGCGATTCATTTGCACCACAAATTCAGCGCAGGCGGAGTCACAGTTACGCGACAGAGTGGGTAGGATATAATTGTCTGTGTCTTCTCTTCGCCAAATATCGGGTGCGCATCGATCTGATCGCCTCATTGAAGAAATTTTAATGTTCTATATTGTTCAAGGAAAGTATTGGGTGAGCCATACCGGATGTGTGCTTACATAACCCTTTGTCGACAATGGCACCGGGTAGGTTACAGTATGACCGGCGCATGGGACAATGGCACCCAATGTTGGGTTTCACTATAATTTCCAGTTTCGTTTCAAACCCATTCAATGTTTTCCTATTTATTGGGAACTTCATAGTATTTAAACTCAACCTGGTCTTGGTCTCAACGGACTGAAAAAGTCAGATACTTTCGCAGGATTTATGTATACCTGGAAGCATTGCAGATTTTTCACCTTCTCAGTATGGCAGTCGAAAAGAATAAATTGATCCTCAAGGACTTTGATACGGGTATACGAATCTTATCGAGTACTTTATTTCCGAAATTCTATTCCACATAGATTCCAAACACGAACTCCATCTCTGACCCTTAGTGATATTTAATGGATGAAATACCATTTTGGTATTCTCACAAGGTTGGCGATTTGTGGGCAAAATTCCAGTTTCGGACGGGACTCGAACCCGTACTTGTCCTTTCCGGGTACCGTGCTCTTAACTCTTACACTACCGAGACCCCGCTTGCCCTCGCCTTCTTAATGGCTTATATGCCACCAGTGTCGAAGTACTGCCATTACAGTACAGTAGAGATCACAATTTGAAT